AAGGTGAGTCCCTCACCTTCAGAAGCCTATGTTTGCTGATGCTTTTTAGAGTCTGCTGCCACTTGGGCCTCATACCTCTTCCTCATTTCCCTCTTTATGGCTTTTGTCTAATCTCAGCTGCTCTTAGCAGCCCTGATTCATGTTTTGAAGGCTGTGGATATCTGCTCCCAGTTTTGCTAAATATCAGGTTCACTGATTTGTCTTTTATCTTGATGCTTTTGTATGATTTAAAGGAAAAGAAACAGAAAGATGCTAAACCTATGTCACCACGTTCATACCAGAAGTCCTTAAGGTTAAAATTTAATTCCACAGCTCAAGTAGTGATTTCAGCCAAGTGCATGGAAAGTAATTTTCCCATGGTGATAATTATGTAGTGCTTTTTATCTTCAGGGTACTTGGGCGACACCAATTACTCCTCCCAATACCTTGGAGCCATTAAAAATAAAAACTACGTATTTAATTTGACTGAAGGAGATAATTACCAGTATTAGCAGACAAGAAATACCTTCAGGGACTGGAGATGAATAATTAAATTATGGCAGAAATATTTCAAGGCATGATTGCCTTCCGCTTTCATCAGAGTCAAGAAATTAAAGCTTCATTAGGAAGCAAATCTTATTTCCATTTTACAGGTAAAGAAACAGACAAGAAGCTTTTTGTCTGAAGCAAACATTGATTAGCCAATAATCCAAACTGAAGTTAATGTGAGAATTCTATAAACCCACAATATTAAGAATTTTGAAAATCCTAAATCCACTTTCCTCTTCTGTTGAAAAAATTTGGTGATAGCAGCTCTTGGTACCCCCAAGTCTCCATTTCAAATATCAGTAACCATTGTCCATTGTGGTGGTTAGAAGGCTTAGTTTAGTGGTTCTCAAATTTTTCAGTCTTAGAACCCTTTACACTCTTAAAAATTATAGAGGATATCAAAGAGCTTTTGTTTATCTGGGTTATAGCTATTGATAGTTATCATATTAGAAATTAAAATGGACATAATTTAAAAATATTTATAAACTGATTTTAAACTAACAATAATAAATCCATTACATATTAACATAGACAACATAATTTTATGAAAAATAATGGTATTTTATAAAATTTAAGAAAGTGAGAAGAGTGGCATTGTTTTGTTTTGAAAATCTCTTTAATGTTTGGCTGGACAGAAGTAGCTGGATTCCCACATCTACTTCTGCAGTCTGTTGTAATGTGTTCTTTGGTTGAAATATACAGAGAGAATTTAGTCACACAGCGACGTGTAGTTGGATAAAGGAGAATTTTAATAGCCCTTTTAGATACTTGTGGCTATTCGATTTTACTCTAAAATTTAGCAAGTGGTAATTCCTTAAAGGTCAGTTACAATGTAGAAAATGAAAACATCAATGAGCTTTTCATACTATTACATTAAAAATTATTGGTCTACTTTGTATTTTGACTGGCTCTTTTACTGTGCATGATTTGTAACAGTATGCATTGGTTACCTTGGAAATGTTGGTTCACAGAGTTATACAGCTATTCAAATGTTGACAATATTATGCAACATAAAAAATATCAGTTTATTTCATTTCCATTCTCATCAAAAAAACCCTCTATTACTATCAAGCTCACGGTGGTGGATACAATTTTTCTCTAGTTTTTTTTCTTTGAAAGCTCTAATTTTATCATTGGCAACAAATATTCCAGTTAGGATAGGCCTACTTCATTTGTTTTCAAGAAACCGAACACCAAATACGCATGCCTGAATATTAATATTTGCCGATCAGCTGTTCAAATAAAAATGGTGCTCTGTGCAAAAAGCAGATATTTCAGTTCTGAAATCTTGAAAACCCTGACCCAGTTGTGATACCTGTCATTTCTGCCCACATTTAATTAGTAATGATTATTCCTCCAGCCACCCTGATATAAGGGATGCTGGAGAAGGGATGCTGGGAAATGTAGTCCCCAGCAGGGCAGGCACCATTTCTGCCACACAAACACCCCCTACCGTGCCCCCTCCCTCTCTACTACACTTTTTCCATATTATTCCCTCTGCCTCAGCTTACCCTTTCTCTGTCACCAGCCTAGTTTCCTTCTATCAGCTTAGGTGTCACTTCCTTCAGGAATCCTATTCCGATAGGTTAGGTATTCTTGTTCTGTGTTCCCATAACACACTTTATTACCCGGTGATAGCATCTATCATCTTTACCATAACGGCTTATTAGTTTTTCTCCTCTAGGCTATACAAACTACAAGGGATGACATAAGTCTGTCTTGTTCATTTTGGTATCCCCATCACATGGTATATAGTAGATCCTCAATAAAAATTTGCTAAACTAATGTGAGACTAAGCCATTATTTAAAAGAGAAAAGTAGGTTAAACTACGCTACTTGAAGAGCTTCAGACTGTCCCCCAACAAAAAGACAAACTGTTTCCTAATAGTACCTTAAATTATTTTCTTCAAAAAATGGTGTGCATGTTAGATAAACATTATCCAGACAAAACTCCACAATCATATATTTTCTCCTTAGCCACAATCCTCTGGTCTCTTTCCTGGGAAAGTGTTAGTACAGGGAAAGCCAACCTTAAGAGCTGATTTGATGCCATATTAAATATACCTGATTTAGAATATGGATTGACTTGGGCTTTCAGAGAAGCCAGATAACTTTCCTCTATCTCATCTCTCTCTTCTTTTATTTTTTTATTTAATTTCATCGTATTTATTTTTGTCTGCCAACTTTTATATCAAGACAGAATAACAGTGCTGCACATGAAAATCACCTGAAGAGCTTTAAAACATTCTGATGACCAGGTTTTACTCCATAACAACTAAATCAGAATGTCTGAGGGTAGTAGCCAGGTATCGGTTTTTAAACATTCTCAGGTGATTACAATGTGCAGCAAAGTTTGGAAACCACTTGCCTGGTAGTTTTTAATCTCATTTCTGACACTTACTGGCCTTCTAAGATTGTGCATGTGATTTAACTTCTCTGTGGAGTTAAATAATACAGAAGTACCTGCCTTATAGAGTTCTTTTAAGGATGAAATGATTTAAAATAAACAAAATGATTAGATCTGGGCATAGAACACAGTATGGGCTAAGTAATTGGGTGGGAGAGAGTTTATTATAGTCTATTCCCTAATAAGTGGAGAAATATCCTAATACATTACGAGTTAAACTGCTGCTACACCACTCCATTCTTTAGTGTAGTTTGGCTTAATTATGGCCTACCAGGTAGTTTGGAAGTATCATCCAAACTAGGATAATTATCCACAGACAATTCTTTCAGTGTCGCAGAAGTAAACAAAGTCTGCACTTTTCCAGAATTTACACTTAGTGGGTGAGAAAAATAATCAACAAGTCAATATATAATTTCGGGCAGTGCTCATTGAAGCCAGCCAATACAATAACCTTTACTCTGAATTCCCTGTGGTCTCTCCATTGAAGAATATACTTGGCAGAGAGGAAGGCTTTTCTATTCCCTAAAAGTGTAGGAACTTTCCAAAAGAGTTAAACTATATTGTGGGCAAAAAAGGGGTTCAATGGAAAGTAACCTCACAGGTGATCTGATCATAAATTCCTTACTGAGCCAGTCATTGGGAGTAGTCCAGTCCCTCCCCAGGCATTTAACTTTTTTAGAAAAAGATTTCTCTTTGCCTTAAGCAAATCCCGTCTATTGTTTTTGAGCATCTAGGTTACCATAACTCTGAAATAAACATAACCACTGTCAGAACACATTGTCTTAACTAGCCTTTAATCCAATCCTGGCCTTTCTCCCACCTTTGTGTGATCTTTCTTACATTCCCTCCTTAATTTCAAAAGCACAAAAGAAAGTGTAAAACTGTCACTCTCTACTCCTGGGAGCATTTGCAATCTTGCTTCCCAGCAATTGTTTCCAGTTTGGCTCAAATAAAATCTTACAAAAATTCTTTACAAGTTTGGACGTTTCTTAAGTCGGCAATATATATTTTTTAAAAAAGTAAGTTATAAATCTCATACAAATACAAAAGGAATGTGTCAAAGGTTTTATTTACTCATTAATTAATGGGGGTACCAGTACCATGTTAGACCGTTTAAAGAATTTAAAGTACCCACTTAAATTATTGAATCGGAAATAGGAAATGAATTTACAAATAGATGCAAAATGGCTTTTTCTAAGGAGGGGGAAAATTCAATGTGAAGTTCAATGGACAAGTTTGCCATGTTAGCTACAATACAGAGTTGTAGAGAGCTCCACGAAGATGGAAAGTCCTTATAGACTCAGAATATCCGGAAGGTGTGCCAGACTATGGCTGGTTTTTCATTGAAGACACCCAGTAATCTTTCAGTCCATTTCGATGTGTTTTCCAAATTTTCCCTAGAAAAATCACTCTGATTACTTGGAAAAACCCAGCACCTAAATAGTTCTTTCGCTTTGTCTTGTTTGCATTTTCCTCAATCCTCTTGTCTTTTAGTTGCCTTTGGCAAGGTTGAACGGTATTTCTTTGCTCCCACCAAGGAGGATTCGGGGTGAGAGACAAAGGAAACCTAATCTTTTACCCCTCCAGGAAATCAATTTCCGCCACAGCAGCGAGGATAGGCCCTGAGTGGGAATTAGCCCCGCCTCCTTTCCCGCGGGCACCGCCCCAGCCAGCCTAATAATCGAGCTGCGCGCAGAGGTCACGTGAGCAGCAGCAGGCTCTTGGCACCTCTGAAGCAGTACGTGGCAAAGATGTCACTCAGAAAAGTCCTTCGTGACTGCTTTCTGTCATCTACCCATCCCGTCTCTCCCTTTTCACACTAAACGCCTGTCTTCTTGCCGCTCGCGTCTGGGGGGGATGGTGACCTGCCAGACTACCCCCAATCCAAACTACCCCAGGCCTCTAGGCCAGCCCTTGCCCTCACTTAAGAGGCGGGGATTCAGTGGCACTGAGGCGAGTTGCACTTTTGATTGGGCATAACTTCTTGTCAATCTCCGAGTTTTCCCAATCAGGGGCGGAATCCGCC